GGCCGGTCTGATTTGAGATGTGCTGTGATTGTACAATAGACCCCTGGATTGCAAAGACTTAGCATGTAAAACAGAATGTAAGCGATCTCACTGATGATTTTCATATTAATTACATGATGATGTGTAATGTTTTGTCTATGCAGCTGATCTCATTATTCGTGGATGCTGTGTTTGCATATTCTCCTACCTGCTAAATCTTTTTGTAACCCACACGTCAGCGATCACACTGCTTCCACGGGCATGTGCAGGGTGGTGAAAAATTTGAGCCGCTGACACACATGTGCCCAGCTGAGGCTGAGCAAGGTGACCTCCGCATGCTTGTTTCAGCTCAGACTGCAAACAAGTGTCCTTTTTATGGTCTTTTCAGTGCCAGGTTTTTCGCAGCACCGAAAGCACTTTATGTTGGTGACTTTGTGGTTTGAGATGGTTCTCCAACAGTGCCAAAGTATTTCCTAGTGTCCTAATAGCAAGAAGGTTGTGATCTGCCTTGTAGAGAAATACGTGTGCTGGATAAGCTTCCTTCAGCTATGAGATACATGCCACCAGCTGTTAGTTCAGTGTTAGTGAACCACAACATGTATTGAATAAGGTGTCTTTAAACAGATCACACATAAAAACAAGGTTACATACTGATCGTTAATGAAAATACTGGGACCAGCGGCTTGCAGGAACCTAACTGTGTATTGCTCCTAGGGGTGATGTTCCCATATTCGCTCATCAGTGTTCACTCTGGGCTTACAGAGTGTAACTACCAGGAACAAGGAGAACCCGCCACACTGAATGTCTTGAATGACAAGAATGCCTTGTACGGAGTGCAATAAAACATAACAAAATTACTTTCACCTTGTCTCGTTTTTACTTCTGTGAAAAGGGAAACACACACTTTCTCAGACCTCACCGGGATCACAGGCCCTGTGAGTCTGGAGCCTGCGGGCCAAGGCTGTCCACGACCACAGGGCTGCAGGCAAGGTGGCTGCAGCCTCCTCGTGGACTCCAGGCCTTCCCTCCCAGTGTCCCACCCACCACCCCAAAGAGCTCTAACGCTCAGAGGGAACATTTGTCCCTCACCTTCTCCATAACCTTTCATGGCTCCCCATTACCCTTAGGATAGAGTCCAAGCTCCCTCGCCTGGCCTCTGAGCCCTTTTGGAGGTGGCACCTGTCCCCACGTCCCCGGACACGCCAGGCACACGGAAGAACTCACAGTTCCCTGGGCACTCCGGGTCCTGTCTGCCTCTCCTGGGGAAATGTGTGCGGAAGGGGGAGAGTGACGGACGGCTGATGAAGTGTGTTTGTGATGGCTTTGTAAATCCCGCGTGATTAATGATAATTATAGCCAGCATTTACTGGACTCTGTGTATTACCAGCCCCTGTGCTAATCCTCACAGCAGCCGGGAGAGGGAGGCCCTATTATTAGCTCTGTCTTATAGTGGAGGAAAGGGGACTGGCAGAGATTAAGTGTCTTGCGCAGTGTCCCACTCAGAGCTGGGACTCAAACCCGGACGGTCGGACTCCACATCACACACATAGCAGCCGAGCCTCTCACGTGCATCAGTGTCTGCAGGCCAGGAACTAGCAACAGGTGTACGTCAAGGCTGCTGACTGCTATTTCCATTCAGATTCAACACACACTTCCCGGGCCTGACATGGGACGAAGGGAAGCAGACAGATTCTGTCCCTGCCCAGGTCTGGAAGGTGCCATGGGCAAGGATGTGGGCAGTCATGAAGCAGGGTGGCACCTGCTCTAATGGAGGTGACAAAGTGGAGCCCAGAGGTGGTCCTGGAAAGACCCCATGGGTCAGAGGGTGAGGGAGGAAGAGGCCTCTGAGGAGAGGCCAGCGGAGACTGGCATTCAAATGAGAACAGACAGATGGGTCAGTAACTATGGAGCACCTGCTCGCAGCCATGCAGCACGTAGCCCTGCAGGCTCTGAGGATGCGCGGCACAGAGAGCGGAACGAACAAGGGGCAGGAAGCAAAAGGGGAGCTGCCTAGGCCTTGGGACAGGGACTTTGGGGGGCCACACTTAAGGGGTTTCTCTCTGGGGTGATGGAAATGTTCTAGAATTGATGGTAGCAATAATAGGCACACGGCTCTGTGTCCATACCAAAAGCCACTGTGCTGTGCCCTCTGAGTGGGTGAACTGTGCGGCGTGGGAATTATATCTCAGTAAAACCATGAAAAAAATCCCTGGAGGATGGCACCTTCTGGGGAGAGGCCGCAGGGAGCAGGTGGTACTGGACGCCCAAGCCCCTTGAACACCTCTCTCTTCCTTTGCATAATAGGACTGTTTGCAGCAATAATCCGGGGGTAACCACCAGCAGCATTTTCTTGATTTGTGCTTTTTCATTTCTTTTCTTTTAATGAACTTATTTTTAGGACAATTCTGGTTTCACAGCCAAACTGAGAGGCAGGTACAGAGATTCCCGCACGCCCCCTGCTCCCCATGCATAGTCGGCAGCTCCACCTGACAGAAGACTTATTACAACTGATGGCCTCACACGGACACAACAGAGCCACCACCTGAGGCCCACAGTCACCTTAGGGTCGCTCTTGCTGTTGTACAGTCTGTGGGTTTGGACAGACACACAGACATGTGTCCACCATTTCAGTGTCACACAGAGAAGCGACGCTGCTCTAGAAGTCCTCGGTGCTGCCCTGTCCCCTCCTTCCCCCACCCCCTGGCAGCCAGGCACCCTAGGGAATGCTGGGCAAACTGGGTGCCTCTGCACTGCTGGTGGGCATGTGCACGGGGCTGACCAAGGCTGGGGAGCCCCCCTCTGGGTGTGGACCCTGAGAGGTGTTCCCACGGAGGCAGTCTGCATGAGCTGCCTTCCGTCTGTCCCCCTGCCTCTTCTCTGCCCAGGTGGCCCCTTCCGGCTACAGGGCCGGGGAGCATCTGCGTTCAGCTGGGGTTCGGCAGGTGGGCAGGAGCAGGGGGAAGGTCCCAGCCAGACTGCCGTGACCTTACAGCTTGGCCTTGGGAGTGACCTTGAGCAACTCACTTCACATTTCTGAGCCTCAGTTTCCACCTCGGTTAAGTGGGGCTGGGGCAGCTACAGTGGTCGCCTCGCTGACTTGTTGAACAATTATTTGCTGTGCGTCTAGTGTGGGTCAGGCACTGTGCCGGGCACTGGGCGGCGGTGAACCACTACGTGCCCTTTTTGATCTGGGGGTTGGTGGATGTAACTAAACAAACAAACAAATAAACAAACAAATGTGAAAATGAGAAGAAACCATGAGGACAGGGGCTTGATCCCCACTTGAAAGATGTGGAGAGGGGCTCAAAGAAATAATGAATCAAATGATTAAAAAAAGAAAAGTTCTAAGCGTCCGTGTGCCAGCGCCCTAGGCTCTGAGAACCCAGTGGTCACCTCAGCCAACGTTTGCACTGAGCTATGTTCATTGCCCGTGAGGTTAAAGGAGGTCTGTGGGTAGCAATGGGTTGAATTGTGCCCCTTGCAAAGATAGGCTGAAGCCCTAACCCCCAGGACCTCAGAAGGTAAGCTCATTGAAATAGGGTCACTGTAGGTGAATTAGGCACGAGCAGGTCATGCTGGAGCAGGGCCGGGACTCCGATCCAACATGACCGTGTCCTCACAAGATGGCCATGTGAAGCCACCCACGCACGGGGGAGACTGGGGTGACACACCCACAAGCCAAGGAACCCCGCGGACTGCTGGCCAAGCCCAGAAGCGAGGAGGACGCAAGGAAGCAGCGTCTGCCGGCGTCGTGGGGGGGGGGGGCGCCTGCCGAGGCTTCATCTTGGGCCTCTAGCCTCTGGAGCCGTGAGGCGAGATGTCTCCGTCGTGCCAAGCCGCCGGGGTGGTGGCACTGCGTTGCGGTAGCCCCAGCAAACTCTACAGCTTTGGAACAAATGAAAGAAACCAATGTACTATGACATGCGAGTGCCCTGGAGGAAGCCAACCAGGGAGAAGGCTTGGTTTTGCACACTGTGTAACAAATTATCACAAATGTAGCATCTTAAAACAGCCTCCCTTACTAGCTCAGGGTTTCTGTGAGCTGGGCGCAAGCATGGCTGGTTCTCTGTAAGGCTCAGGCTGCAGAATCCACTCTTCTTGGAGGTTGTCTGCATTCCTTTGCCATGGGGACCCCCCCACCTTCAAGGCCAGAAACAATCTTCTTCCTGTTGACAACCCCTCATTCTTTGAATCTCTCCAGGAGAAGCCCCCCACCCCCGACCTTTCTTGAGGGGTCTCCTGATGAGGCCAGGCCCACCGAGGATCGCCTCCCTGCCCTAAAGCAACTGTTTCGGAACCTTCATCCCATCTGCCGTGATCAGCACCTGTGTGAATAGTTGGGGAGCCGCGTGTTCGCCCCACAAGGATTGACGGATTGGATGCAGCAGGGCCGGAGGGGCCAGGGGGGCACACTCACAGGGAGCCTGGAGGAAGGGCGCGGGGTCATTCCAGGCAAGGCGCGTTGCCCGCCCAGGGCCGGTGTGGAGAAGCGCCTGCGCCGGGATCGCGGGGCGGCTGCGGTGGCGGTGAGGACAGCCGTGGGGGCGGCCCGCGCCTCAGCACCAGGGCCTCGGGGCTGTGCCAGCAGAAGCCTAGGGAAGCCTTTCTCCCTCCGGCCCGCCCTCCCCGGTGACCCTGGGTGAGTCACTTCCCTCCCCTGGTTCCCTGTCTGCTGCCGGCGACCCGCCTCCCTCCTCGAGACAGAAGAGCCCATGGGGGCGGTGCGGGCCTGGGTGGGTCCGGCCGCTGGGCTGCGGGAGCGCGGTCGGTGCCAGGCACGGGCCGGGCGTGGCGAGATAAGGAGCCGGGAGGCGCCGGGAGCTGGGCTCCTCCTCCGACGCTGAATTCCAAGCGGGCCGCGCAGCGGGCCAGGAGCGGGGCTGGGAACGCGGGGCGCCTGCCGCTGGGAAGGAGGGCGCGGCCTCGCTGCGCGTCCGTGGGTGGGCGGCCGCCCCCTTCCGCGAGCCCCAGGGCCCCTCCGGAAAGGGCGGCTGTCTGGGCAGCGGGGCCCCACATTCAGCCCCCCCGCTCCCGTGCGTCGAGTCTGCAGTGACTCTTCCCAGAAGCCCTCCTTGGTCACCTGGCTGCAGTCAGTGCCCCAGCCCGCCAGCCAGGCACCTGGCCTTGGAGCATGTGGGCTCCGGTGGAGGAGACATAATGCCTGCCGATAGGAGAGACCGAACTGGACTTAAACCCGGGGTATAAATAACCATCCGTGAGTCCACACAGATACCAACAAATGATTGAATAAATAAATAAACAGGGGCAAGGAGAAGGGACAGAGGATTCCCCCAAAGGTATCTGGGCACCCCCACCTTACTTCCCCCTTCGTTCCTTCCTCCATGTGGGCTTGTTTCCAGAGAGCAGAAGGCAGCGGGGGATCAGGCCCCAGGGCCGTCTGCCCGCCAGGTGGTCCAGGTTAACTTGGTCAGTTAGGAGCAATGTGGGTAACAGGGTCCACCTGCCCCCGCTTCTCCGCAGGACTCAAAACTGGCCCGTCATCAAAAACCAAAGCACGTCTGAGAAGTGGACACAGACCAGCGGAGACGCGTGTGTGTGACTCGACACAAGGCCAGGTGGTCTGCGGGGTGAGTCCTGGAGCAGAACAAGGCCTTTAGGGGGGAATGGGCGAATTTGGGGTAAAGGGTAGCGTCTGGGCTGTAACCTGTGCATGTTGGTTGCTTGGTTCTGACCGAGGTGTCCAGGTGATGGGGGACATACCTTCAGGGGCAGGGGGGTGCGAGAAGGTTGTGCTGTCCTCACAGATGCTCTGGGAAGCCAACACCATTCTGAAAGAAAAGGCTTATTTAAAAGAGAACCAGGCCCCACTCCACCCGCTTGTTCTCCGAACAGAAGCCATTGGGAACCTGTTAAATCAGGAGAGGAGCTTGTGCTACTCGGGTATTTCTCAAAATGCATCAAATGGTAACAGGCAAAACGCACCCATGGCACTGCATTTAATGTTACCAAGGACAAGAAGCCTAACTAAATGTTAGATATTTTGTTGTTAAACTGCAGGGGTTTAGGGGTGACATTACCTGATATTTGCAAATTGCTGTGAAATGAACTTTTAAAAGGTAATTGTATGGGAGCTATCTCTAATTTCTACTCAATTTTTCTGTGAACCTGAACTGCTCTAAAAAGTTAAGTTTATTAATTTTAAAAAGATGATGGCTAGACAGACAAGATCATTATGAAGCAACTAGAGCAAAATGCTCACTGGAGACTCTAGGGGGCGAGGGTATAGCTATTCACTCTGCAATTCCATTTCTGTGTTTCTAAATTTCACAATAAAATGTTAAAAGGAAAAACCATGCCAAACTCTTCCTGAATCCCTCCTGGGCTGAGTCTCCCTATTCATGGTGTAGAAATCGGGGTCCCTGTGCGTCCTGTCTCCCTGCCCCACCCCAGTGCTGTCTCCCCTGAGACATGTCCCCTTCAGCTCCTGCTCTGATAGGCCTGCCTGCTCCACCACATGCATCCCTCCTAAGATGCTTCATAACTTGCTTGCTGACTCTGTTTCCAGGTCTTTTTCCTCCCATCAGACTGGAGGACCTGGGTGGGGAGGGATTTGTGTGTTTCATTAACCAAGGGGTGGCCAGCACCCCAGACAGTGCCCAGCACACAGTGGAGCCTCGAGAACTCTTAGTTGATCTGTGTCTTCTGCCAGAATGGAAGCTTGTCTGTGTGTCCTCTGAAGTGTCCCCTGTCTAGCACAGCACATAGTAAGTGCTCTAAAAGGCACTTAAGGGCAAATGAATGAACAGGTAAGGATGAAGCCCTAGGTAAGGGTTAAGAGCACAGTGCCTGGGGTTGTATCTGGATCTGCCACTCACCAGCCCTGTGACCTTGGGCAAGTCAATTGCCTCCCCAAACTTGAGTTTCCTTCTTGGGAAATGGAGCCCTTGTGGGGAGCCCCCCACACGTGGCTGGTGGGGAGGCAAATAGTACAGCCACCTTGGGATATAGTCTGGCAGCTTCCTGAAAAGTTTACCATAAACTTCCCACACAGCCTGGCAATTCTGTTCCTAAAAATCCGCCCAAGAGAAATAAAAGCCTGTGTCCACAGGAAGACCTGGACACGCACGTTCATGGCAGCACTATTTACAACAGCCAGAGTGGGCACAGCCCAGATGCCCATCGAGAGAGGAATGGATAAACAAAATGTGGCCTATCCACACAGTGGAATGTCATTCGGCCATAAAAATAAATGAAGTACTGATATAATTTAGAACATGGCTGAACCCCAAAGACTGTTTGCTAAGTGAAAGAAGCCAGACACTAAAGGTTATATATCCTATGATCCATTTATATAAACTTCCAGAAGAGGGACACCTGTAGAGACAAAGTAGATTCATGGTTGCTGGGAGCTGGGGGTGGGAATGGTAAATGGTGAGTGATGCTTATGGGCTAAAATGTCTTTTGGGGGCTGATGGAAAAGTTCTAAAATTGGATTGTGGAGATAGTTGCACAATCATGTGAATTTACTAAAAAATCACTGAATTGTACCTTAAAATGAGTGACTTCTGTGGTACGTAAATGATACCTCAGTAAAGTAGTTTAAGACAAAAAATGGGGCCTGTAAATCACCCATGTGATGATGCTGTCGTGAAGATTCAATTAGCTGATTCCTGGAATCCCATAGAAAGAGACGTAGTGTGAATACCCAACAAATGTGTTTTGTGTTAACAAATGTGATTCAGATCACGTATGTAAAATGCTCAGACCAGGGAGAGGTGTGACTGGGGCTCGATGCACGCACACCCACCATCACGTCACAGGAACAGCACCCTATCCCACGCCTGCCCCAGTCTCTCATCTCCTCAGGCCTTTTCCTCACCAAAAGTTCTGTATTTTGTTCTAGGAGTGTTTCTATCTGCACAGCTGATCCTTAAGGTGGGGCAAATGTGTGGCGCCGGTGGGTGATAGGCAACGTGCTTGCGTGTGTGTGTGTGTGGTGGGAGGGGAGTACATGCCTTTGGGCTTGGAGACCCGGATGTGTGTTGGCGGGGGTCTTGGCAGGTGGGTGGTGTCCTGGAGCTGAGGGTCATGCTGGCCTGGTTAAGGGTTCGGGGTGTGAGCTGGTCCAGCCCGGGTTTCCAGCCCCACACCCGCCATCGTCCCACTAGGAGATCTCCCTTTCTGCGTGCTGTTTCGCCTCTGGAAGATGGCAAGGTGGTTTCCTGGTTCCCAGTGGGGTGCTGAAGATTCCCTGCGATCACGGCTACACCAGCCTGGGCGAGGAAAACAGAGCGGGAAGAGTAACAGGCCCTCCCAGGTTCCAGCCATGGGGTTCACCCCTTCCCTCTGAGTCATTCCACACAAAGGGCTGAACTCGCAGTAGTGGTGACAGACGCTGGTCAAATGACTTAGCTTGAATCCTGCCTGCCCCCTTCTATCAGCGGGGCTGGATAAGCACCCCATCATGAGTTTATCCATGCGACTGTGCTGAAAAGGTGTCTTGCCATGTTGCACGCTCACTAAATGGTGGTCTGCACTTAGATGTGGTAATAGGGAACCACAGAAGGCTCCTGCGGAGGAGGTGGCTTTGCTGTGATAAACCATCCCCCACCCCCCTAACCCCCAACACCCAAGGCTTAGCTACAAGATCTCCTCAGATCTAGTCTGTTGGAAAACTGGTTTCATTTGGAAACCCTAACTTATCTGTGCCAATCTTTGGTTATTGTCCATCTCCTCCACTGGTCTGTAGGCTCCACAAGGCAGGGGCCCAGCTGGGCTACTCATCATTGTGCCCATAGCCAGCCCGGTGGTAGGGAACACAGCGACAATCAAGGTGGTAACATGTATTAAGCGTTCACCATGTGCCAGGCACCGTCCCAAGGGCTCAGCTAGGATGCGTGAAATCTGACAGAATTCTGCGAAGCTCGGGATGGTGAGCGTCTCCACCCTCGGCCCTCGGCCCCATCTTTCCACCCTCACCCTCACCTGATGTTTCCGTCCCACGAGAGAAAAACCCTTCCTCAAAAAAATGGATGACCTCACCCCTCTTGCCTGGCCTTACAGGTGTAAAGAGAGCTAAGTGGTCGACATCAGTATTCCACAGGGCGAGAGAGCCGTGGAAGGTGCTGGGGACGGTGCGACAGAAGGGAAGACGAGGTGTTTTAAGGATGATTGGACACATCTGCTCTTCCCCCTTCACTCCTGGGACCCAATCAAATGGGTAAAATACAACACCCAGGCGATTTGTAGAGAACGACCCTTCCCACCCAGCCCCAATTCCGTTGTTTCTCAAACACGCGGCACCCACCCACTCACGACCTTTGCCCCTGCTGCCCTCCTCTGGTTCTTCACTCGGGTCAAAGGTCATCTTTCCAGCGTCCCCACCCTGTGCAGCTTGCTCTGCCATCCCACTGCCCTGCAGTTTTCCCGTGTCCCTTATCAATACCTGGCGCTATACTGTAGACTCGTTCACTATTGAGAGCAGCGCTGTGCAAAAGAACTTCTTGCGAGGATGGAATGTTCTGGAACTGTGCCTTCCAACAGGGTGGCCACCGGCCGCTGGGGCCACTGGGAACTTGAAAGAGGGTGACAGCGGCAGTGAACTTCTAATCCTGTTCTGTTGTAATTATTTTAAATGTACTCACATATTCTACATGTGAACAGAAGCAGCCGCGTGTGGCTCGCAGCTAACACTGTTGGACAGCAGATACAGAAACTCAGCTCGTCACGGACTGCCTGGCCTTCCTCCTCAGTCCGCTCATCTGTGCTGCGCCCCACAAACGTCTGCGGAGTGAATGCGGGGAGGGGGGCTCTCCAAAGACTCCAGGCAGATGGTAACCTGTCTCCTCACTCTGGTTTCTTCTTTTGAGTTTCCGGCTTGGCTGCCTGCTCCCGGGTGGGTGTCTATGTCCTTCCTGCTCCAAACCCAAGCTCAGAGCTTGTTAGGCAAATCGGCGCACCCCCGATCCCCGAGCCAGCCCCACAGACAGCCTCACTCTGTTGGGTTCCACGGACTCACATTTATTCACAGACAAAAGGGCAGGGATGGACCTTTGCTCACTGGGGATACCCCCAGGTCTGGCAGTTCCAAAGAGGTGATGGTGTCCAGTGTGTATAATGGGGGACAGCCAGGCAGGGGTTCCCCCAGTCTCCATCCCTCTGGCCAGTGTCCTCCGCCTTCTTTTCCAAGTCGTCCGGCCTTAAGACGAGTGTGTGGCGAGCAGTTCCTAACCGGCATCAGGGGGGCTGGGGGTGGGGGCCGGGGCCCCGCTTGGTGTCAGGGCTGGAAGGGGGGGCAGGGGGCAGAGGAGGTGCCAATCCTTCAACTTCCCTCCTCCACGTTGCAAACCGGGGAGCCCACGGGGGCCGCGCGTGGGTGTCAGGGTCAGGAGGCCAGGCCGCCCACCCCGTGCAGGTGCGTCTTGCTCTCCATCTCTTCTTCCTCCATCTTGAAGGCTGAGTGGTCTTGGCTGTCGAAACAGGAGGCGCTGAGGAAGAGAGGGGCAGCCGGCGGCGACTGGGGCGGGGTCCCCGGGGAGGGCGGCTCCTCCTTGATGCGCCCCGCTGGCGGCGGGGGTCCCCCCGCCTCCTGGCCGGCCGGTGGCGGTGGCGCCTGGGCCTGGAGCGCCTGCAGCGCCGCGGCCCTCTCCAGCTCGGCGCGGTGGCAGCGCTGGTGGCGCAGGAGGCTGTAGGCGCGCGAGAAGCGGCGCGGGCAGTGCGGGCAGGGGTGCGGCGCCGGGCCGCCGGCGTGAACCTGCGCGTGGCGGGCCAGGTCGGCCAGCCGCTTGAACTCGCGCTGGCAGCGCACGCACTGGAAGGGGCGCGCCCCGGAGTGGGTGACCCCGTGCTGCCGCAGGTGCGCGCGGCGCCGGAAGCCCTTGCCGCACTCGGGGCACCAGAAGCGGGGCTCCCCGGCGGGGGGCCGGGCCGGGGCGGCGTCCCCTCCGTCCTGCCCGCCTTCTCCCCCGGCCGAGGCGCCCCCGCACTCAGCCCCTTCGCCGCCCTCGGGCCCCTTCCCTGAGGTCCGCGCCCCCGCGGCCTTGTCGTCCTTCTTGCCCGCCGAGGGCAGCGAGGCCAGGAGGCTGAGCGTGCCGTGGACGCGGCGGTGCTGGCGGAGGTAGGAGGCGAGGCGGAAGGCCAGGCCGCAGTCCGGGCACACGAAAGGGCGGTCGGTGGAGTGGACCAGCCGGTGGCGGGACAGCGACCAGGGCCTGGCGAAGGCCTTGAGGCAGATGGAGCACTGGTGGCGCTTGGGGCGGGGCGGGGGCCCCCCTTCGCCCTCCTGCTCGCCCTCGGGGCGCAGACACGGGTGGGCTTTGAGTTCGCCCTTGGTGGCGAAGGCTTCGCGGCAGCGCAGACATAGCAGCGTCCAGTCGGCCTGGAGCAGGACCTGCTTCTCCTCCTGCCGCCCGGCCGCCAGCGCCAGCTCGGCCCGCAGCTCCGCAGCCCCGGCCTCGGCCTCCTCCTCCTCCGACTTCCAGGGCTCGGTGCTCGTGGGGGCCGCCAGCGTGGCCGGCTCCCCCGCGGGCCACGCCTCGGGCCACGCAGCCTCCTCCTTGACGGGCCCTGCTGCGGCGGTGGCCGGCTGCTCTGCGCCCTCCTCCTGCGAGCTCCAGCTGGACTCGGCCTCCTCCTTGAACGCCCTCTCCATGGCCAGCTCGACCTCGCCGCCCGCGTGCTCCTGCGCCAAGTGGCGCCTGAGCTGGGCGGGCTCCGGGAAGGTGCGGGGGCAGGCGGCGCACCGCAGCGGGGGCTGCGGCCCATGGCCGCGCAGGTGGCGGGAGAGGTGGGCAGGCCGGCGGAAGGCCTTGGGGCACAGGGGGCAGGCGTGGGGTCGGAGGCCTGAGTGGCTCTGCCGGTGCCGGGAGAGGTAGTAGGGGAAGCGGAAGAGGCGGCCACAGGTGGGGCAGGGCAGAGGGGCGCGGGGGGCTCCAGCACCGCCCCTGCCACGGCCTCGGCCCCGACCCCGGCCTCGGCCCCGGCCCCGGCCCCGGCCCCGGTGAGGCGGGCTGCCCTGGGCGGGTGGAGGGGGCTGTGGGTCCATGCCTGTAAGGAGAGAGAGGAGAGATGGACAGACGGGAGGGGGTCAGAGGGAGAAGCCGAGACAGAGAATCGGAGGGTCAGGCATTCAGCCAGGCGAGGAAGAGACAGACAGACAGACGCACAGGAAAAGACAGGCGAGCCAGCGAGCAGGAGAGATGGGACGCCCAGCAGAGAGATGGGGAGAAAACAAAGAGATGCAGGCAGAGATGGAGCCAACAGCCATCAGGACCACGGCGGGAGGGAGGCAGGGCTCACGGGCAGAGGCCGAGGCCGTCAGACGAGGGGCAGAGGGACACAAAGTCAGTGAACTGCTTTTTCTCCGGGGGCCACTGGGACATCTTGGGAGGGGCGGGGACCCGCCTGTAGCGGAGTGGAGGGGGTGGGATTCAACACGGCAGGCCCCGGAAATGGAGTGTGGATGCCCGGACGCCAGGGGCTGGGGGTGGCTGGGGAGGCTGGGGGTGGGAGGGCTCCGGCAGTCGGGGAGGGGGCGGGGGGCTGGGCTCCCGGGGCCGGGATAGCCGGGAGCCGGGGACTGGGGCTAGGATTTGAGAGGTGGGCTGGGACCCAGCGCCTGGAGCCCTGTATGCTAGGCGTGTGGATTCCGGGGTCCCGGTGGCGGAGAAGGTTGGGGGAGGGGGCCAGTCCCGACAAGGGACGAGAGGGGCTGGGGGCTCGGCTGCCCGGGTTCTGCAGGGGTGAGGAGGCCGAGGGCCAGGCCCCCGGGCCCCCAGGAAGGCTGCCGGGGGTGGGGTGCTCTGTGTTCCCAAGGGGGCCGATCCCCCGCCTGGCCCAGCTGCGCTTCCCCGCGGGCATGATCAGCAGGGCTGGGGCCTGGGGTGGAGGCCCGGCAGGTTCCCGAGCCCGCGCCCGGGCCCGGCCTGAGCGCCCGGCGCCTGCTCCTTACCTCTGCCTCCTTCGCTCCTTTCTTCCTTCCCCGCGGCCGGACGAGCGGACGGTGGTGGCGGGGCGGAGGGAGGGCCCCGAGCGTGGTGGGGGTGGAGGCGGCTGGGCTCGGTGTCGCTGCCTAAGCCTTCCCCCCGGAAACCTGGCCTTTTGGCGGAGCCTGAAAGAAGAAAGACTGGATGGGAAGCCGGAACGGGAGGACGGGGACCCCGGGGCGGGAGGGGGTGGTGGGCTGCTGGGACTCCTGGGTCCTGCAAGGGGAGGGGGCTGGGGCTCGGAAGGCTGGGTCCAGTTCCCCTCCGTCCCCAGCAGACACACATATTCATTCATTCCTTCAAGAAATGCACATTTATCAGGTCCTGTCTGTGCCAGTCACTGTGCTGGGCGAGGGGGTGGCCCTGGGTTGGGGGAATGACTGAGGTAGTGACAGAGGCTTCAGGGAAAGTACCCGCTCCCCAGCCTTCCCTTAGCTGCAGAGCAACCACTTTTCCTTGTCAGAGCCTCAGTTTCCCCTTCTGTGATAAGCCCCGCATATATTCACTCTATCCTAGACAGACCAACATTCACCGAGCACCTACCTCAGGCCGCTTCTGAGTATATTTTGCTACATGTATTCCTTCGATCCAAGCCACTGATATTTACTGAGCACCTACTGTGGGCTGGCTCTGTCCTTGGTGCTGGAGCTGCGGTGGCACTGACAGAAGCCCTGGAACCCTGTTTGCAGGGAGCTCATGGTCTGGTGGAGGAGGCCAACAGATCGCCTCCCCCTCCTGGAGACGGTGCTCTAAGGCAGGACGAGGATGCACCAGCCGAGGCGCCCCGGAGTGATGGTGCTCTGGAGCTCTTCCAGGAGACAGCAGTGTTCCAGCCGGAGCCTGTGAGAGCCGAGGGTTAGGAATGAGAAAGAGGAGCAAATGGCAGCTGGAGAGAAATGTACCAGCAGGCCACATGTCAAGTACCTAATGTTGAGCAGAAAAGGCGTGTTGCAGGAGTGTACCTGCTGTTTGTTTAAGGTGAAATACCAATGTGCTGAACGTTGTTGGCAAGAGTGTGGGAAACAGGACCTTCCCTCCGTGGCTAGGGCGAGTAGAATTTGGAACAGCCTTAACAGGTGGACAATTTCAGGAATCCATTGATCAGGTAGATTTACTCATGCAAAAGAATGCCTGTGCCCTGTTAACAGGTGCAGCATTAAGACTCAGTGCAGAAGATGGGGAGTGAGCTAAACAAACGGTGATGGATCCGCCCAGTGGAATGCCACGTGTCCGTGGAGGAAGGAGAAGGGGCTCGCTGTGCGAAAATATGGAACGACTCCAAGTGATAATATGAAAGGGAGGAAGAATGGAAGGTGGAGAACAGGTCCCTGCCCCCTCTAAGGGCTGTACCAGCTAGCGGCTGCACCTGAAGGACTGAATAAAGAGGAAACTGGCAACATTGTCTCACTTCCAGGACTGAAACCGACCCCAAGCTACCCTTTCATACTTGCCTTGGAAACCACATGCAGGTGCTCCATGTGCAAAAAGTAATAAATAAATAGTAAAGGAAAAAGAAGAGGGGGATGATAAAAGTAAATAAAATATGAAAGTGGATTACAGCTTAACCCTGGTAAGTGCTTTACAAACACAAACCCATTTGTTCCTCCTCTTGTGAAGTGGGTGACATTGCTCCCCCCATTTTAAAGAGCATGACAAGTAAGGTACAAGCTCTCGAAGTTCACTGAGGTCCAGTAAATCTGCGTTTCAAAAAGAGATGGGAGAGAGGGCTCTCTTGTCCCCTCCTGGCGTGAGCCGGAAGCTTTTTCCTCTCACTTTATTTCTAAATAAAAGCCTGTACCTTGCTCTCCTAAAAAAAGAGAGAGAGAGATGGGAGAAATGGTAGGGGCCAAGGGCATGATTTTTTAAAGCACCTGCTGGCCAATAATACTGGTTTTTTTCTTCTTTGTGTGAAGATTTTTATTACCTGACCCAATTTCTTGTTACGGGTTCATTCTGATTTATATTTCTTCTTGAATCCGTTTTGGTAATTTGCATTTTTCCAGTAGTTTGATTATTTTGTCTAAATTGTCTTAATTTATTGGCATTAAGTTGTTTGTAGCATTTCCTTATTATCCTTTACATTTCTGTAGGGTTGAAAGTGGTGTCCCCTGCTTTAATTTTTCTTTTTATTTAATAATAGTGTTTTTTGAAGAATACATACACATGGCAAAACTCTAAAAATATCCGTGGAAACAGTAAACACCAAGTTTGGGCGGGTGTTACCTTTGAGAAGGGGGAGGCAATAGGGTCGCAGAGGAGCATCCCTACGTGTGTGTGTGTGTGTGTGTGTGTGTGTGTGTGTGCGCGCGCGTACTTCTTTATTTAGTAAAATACACATAACATGACATATACCATTTTAAAGTGTACAGTTCAGTGGCATTAAGTACATATGCCTCGATAGAGAAATTTGGGCCCCTTGGGCCATCACGGCCTAGCCTCCCTCTTTCTTCTGCAACCAAAATCAGCTTTCTGTCCCTATGTGTTTGCTGACTGTGGACATTTCACATCAACTGAGTCATGTAATATGCGGTCTTTTAGGACTGGACTGGCTTCTTTCACTTAGCAAAGCATTTCAAGATTCATCCATGTTGTAGCCTGTATGGATACCTCATTCCTTTTTCTGGCCGAATAATATTCCATTACTTGGGTATGCCACCTTATCTGTTCATTCGTTCATAGACATTTGGGTACCTTTTGGCTGTTGTGCATGTGATGTGAATAGTGCTTTCAGGAACATTTGTGTGTATATTTTTGTTTGCATGGCTGTTTTCAATACCTTTGCGCATATATCTAGAGCGTATGTGTTATTTCATTACCTATATTTTAAAGGCTTAAAAACGTTTTTTTTCCAGAAAGAAGCAAGAAAGGAAAAGGATTCAGGAATGAGGGTGGTGGGAAATAAAATGGCAAGCAGAGAGAACAGCATGCCTCGTGGGGGATCCTGTCTTGGGGGCTACTGGGAGCCTTGGATGGAGTATCAAAGGAGGCCAGGGTGGCGGAGCCCGCTAGCTGGGCAAGCTACCGTGTCCGGCCTCCTAGCACAGGCTGAATGCTGGACGCATTCCCAGCGCACTGAGGAGACATTGAAAAGGTTTTAAACTGGAGAGTCAGTCACATGACCCGTTTAGAATTTCAGAGAAATTCCTGTGGGACCCGCAGGGAGGCGGCCGGATGCTGGGCTGATCCAGCAGGGGGCAGCGAAGGGCGGGCACTGGCCCAGGTGAGAGGCTGGGGGGCGGGGCCTGACGCTGATTGGCTCGGGGCTGCACTCCTGGATGCCGGTCCCACCGCAACTGCCTCCTCATTGGCTCTCCTGCTTCCAGCGCTCTCGCGCTCAGCCTCCAGCCCCCAGAATCCCAGCTCGCCGCTCTTGCGCTGAGCGCTCTCCCCAGACACCCACCCCGCTGAGGCTCTGCAGGCCCGGCCCCTTGGGGCAGTCTTCAGCCGGTTTCCACCCCTTCCCTCTGCTTCAATGCTCCAGCCACACCTCCCGCCCCCTTTGTGCTTTCTGGACTCAGGGCCTTTGCACGTGCCGTTCCCCCTTCCCGGAATGCCTTTCCCCTAGATTTCCAGTTTTCCCTACTCCCCGCATTTCTTCCGAACTCCTCAGGGACGTCTGCTGACCACCCCTCGCTACAATAGCCCTGTTGTCACTCTTTCGTCCTTACCCTGCCTTCCTTTTCAACGTGGCATTGAGCGCAAAAGAACGTTTAGGGGGCTTGTCCACTGCGTCAGGCGTTCCACCTCCCTCCCACTGGAATAAACTCCCCTAGGGCTTAACCGCTGTACCCCGGCTTCCAGCCGCGCTCAGAGGTGGGGCCAAATACTGCGCGTGCATAAGGAAGCATGAAGGGTGAGGAGGAGGAAGGCGGACTGGGGCTCTGGTTCTGGGGCGGGGGCGCTGCTGAGGAGAGGAGCTCGGGTGGAGGGAGATGCGGAGCGCTCGGGCGGCCGGTGCCAGTCAGCCCCCGCAGCGGAGGGGGCGAGCTGAGATCTCCCCTGGGGTAAAATCCGCTCCCCCCAACCCCCCGCCCTCAGCCTCCAGGAACATGTCTTTGAAATGGGGCCACAGTTAGGTACAAGGTCCAGCCCAGCCTGGCACTGGGGGCGCCCTGGGAAATGCGGTGAGTCTCCTGGCTCCTGTCTCTCGGAAGAGAAAGGACTGGGGCAGAGGTGAGNTCCGCTCCCCCCAACCCCCCGCCCTCAGCCTCCAGGAACATGTCTTTGAAATGGGGCCACAGTTAGGTACAAGGTCCAGCCCAGCCTGGCACTGGGGGCGCCCTGGGAAATGCGGTGAGTCTCCTGGCTCCTGTCTCTCGGAAGAGAAAGGACTGGGGCAGAGGTGAGGTTGGGGGGGCCTCGGCCCCCAGAGGTCCCTGCTCCCGGCCGCAGCACCTTGGCCAGCTCCGCCACAGCCGCGGCGCTCTTCCAGGCCCTCGTCTCCAGCGGAGCAGGTCTCCAGGCGCGGGGCCCTGGTCCCTGGGGGCGGCGCCTGTATCTAAGGGGGGAGGGTCTTGTTTCTCCAGGGCAGGTGATTTTATTTTATTATTTTAATTTTTTACTCAGAAAGAAAGAGTCTGGTTTCTGGTTCCTGGGTCGCGGTGGTCGTAGAGAGGTGGTCTCTGCGGTTGAGCGTCCCCAGGGGCTGACCTGGACAGCCTTTTAAAACCTGCAGTTGTGATCTCCAAGCAAAAATATTTTCCGTGAATGTCAAAACTCTTGTTTTCTCTCCCCCCAAATATACCTCTCCCTCCTTTACATTTTTTTTCCTTTGTGAAATGTAAGACACAGAGGTTAGAAGGGCAGGCCACACACGTGCAGTTACAGGTAATTATGAAATGGTCGCCTGTTAAGAAACAATGTTGGCAGCCACACCAGGGCGCCGACAACACTCGGCGCGCCCCACCCCGAGTTTCACCCTTCACCACCACTCTTTTGAGGTTTATGAAAAAATGTTTTCCTTGCGTTTCTAAGTGGTTCACATCTTAAAAAATGTTAGTTAAGCTTTGCTTGCTTTTGAACGTTAGGCAAATGGAATCGTACTCCGTATTTGGCATCTTGTGTCCATCTTCAGAGCCTTCTTTCATTCATATAATTGGGCATATCCGTTCATGCTTTCTCCTGGCTGTACCGTCTTCCACTGCATTATATACCACCACTTCTTTATCCTTTGTATTGTTAATGGATGTCTTAGTCTATTCAGGCTGCTGTAATAAAATACCACCGACTGGGTGGCTTATGAACATCAGAAATTTGCTCACGATGCTCGAGGCTGGACACTCAAGGCCACAGTGCCACCACGGTTGCCTCTCGGGAAGGCCCCTTCCTGGTTCATGGCAGTGACTGCTCACTGTGTCCTCATGTGGTCAAAAGGGCTAGGCTTCCTTCTGGAGCCTTTTAAATAAGAGCCCGAATTCCATTCAGGAGGCTTCCCCCTCATGGTATCAGCACTTCCTCAAAGCCTCCAAGGGCATTAGGATTTCAATATAAGGGTGGGGAGGGGTTCTGCAAGCACTGAGACCATAGCAACAGGCATTTCAGCTGTTCTGAGTTTGGGGCTGTCCGTGTAGCTGCTGAGAGTGTTCTTATATGCATCTCCCTGTGCAGGTGAACACAAGTTTTTCTGGGGTTTGTGTCTGGCAGGAGGATTACTGCGTCAGGGTATATACTTATTTTCAGCTTATCAGAGCAGGCCACTCTCCCAGGCATGTCCCCTGTAAGAAACTCCATATGGAATTGTTGACCCTCTAAGCCCTTACCAAAAGTTGCTCTTCCCCAGTTTTCAGGTCTTATACAAAGGGCCACCACCCACACCGTCTCTCCTCATTCCTCCTTTTCAATCACGCACACACACCATACTCACCCCCTACCTCCAGAATCATCCCAAATCTACCACTCCACGAGGCCCCTGCCCCTCCCCCACTAGACTGCAGGAATCCCTCCTGCTCCTCCTCCACCCAGCGGCCAGAGGGACCTTCCTAAAGCTTAAGAGGGGTCACATCCCTCCACACTTATGACCTCGCTTGCCATTCCCGGAGAGCGCAGCAAATGCCTGTCTGGACCCACCAGGCTGTGTGCGACCTGAACCAGCCTCAGTTCACCCTCCCTCCTCTGTGCCCACTGTGCTCCTGCTTCCTTCCATTCAGGCGACCTCTGGTTGGGCCCACCTTGCCCTTCAGGCCTCAGATCAGGTGCCACGTCTGCAGAGAGGCCCGCTGGACACCCACCTAAGGTGGCCTAGCCCAGCCACATCTTTCCTTGTCTCCTTCAAAGTGCTCAAAACGATCTGAAACAACTTTCTGCGCTTCTTCGATTACTCTTTCTCCACTCCATCACCCACACTCTAAAATATAAAATATATGCTCTGTGAGGAGTTATTTTGTTCACCCTTGGATCCCCAGAAGGGGTTTGGACACTTGACATGGAACAGGCACCAGGTGCAGGGATGTAACCTAGTACGTAGGAGACATCTGAAAGGCTGACCCATTCGCTGATGGTGCAGCTATTCTAGGGGTCAATGTAGCCTCTGAGGTACAAATTCGGTCCCCTGCAGGCAGAATTTAAGATGTGGGGCTTCTTCCTAGGGGTAGAACCTGACTCTAAGGAGACAGTTTGGTTTTTAGAAGGCACGTCCCATGGAACTGATGGTGTCTAAAGGCATGTCTCATTATACCTGGCATGTCAGGTCCCTTGGAGGTGGATTTTGCTTGAAGGACAAGGTTCCATTTAGATGAGGCTTAAACCACCTCTGATTTTAGGCAGTGTGCACTATCTAAAGGGCTTGACATTTCAGGAGGGAGGGAGGAAGGATCTAGCTCTACTTAGGGGCCTGTCCTAAGTCAGGGAGGGAGAACTTTCCATTCTCTGGAGCCAAGGATCAGAAAATGAGACAGCAGTGTGTGACAGGACGAGGTTTATTGGGGTCCTGGAGACACTGGGGAGGGGGATGAGGGGGTGAGGTCGAGGCTCATGGGGGGAACCCCCTGGCCAACCCCCCCTTCCCCTTGGGACTGGGAGGAACACAGAGACAAACAAAACAACAGAGATGGTAAGACCCACAGGCGCTACAGCAGAGCGGGAGGGAAAATGCACCATCCACCTGATCCCACCCAGACGCGTCCCCAGGATGGGGAACGAGCAGGCTGGCCCCACTCCAGAGGAAGAGGGGCGTCTGCTGGGTGTACTCGGAGGAGGGTGTGGTGCAGGCCCACCTGGACCAGCCTGTGCCAGTGGACAGGGGTGTGTGTCTGAATTAGTTCATCCTACTGGGTGGGGAGATTTCCAACCAGCCTATTCTAGTATTTGGGGGTGGGGAAGATCATTAGGGTTGATCCATTCCTTAGTGGAGACCTAACTGGGGAGGGGGTTTAGGGCAGGGGGCATCTACCCTGGTCCTCTTGGGCTTAGGGAATGAAATGGGGGAAGGCAGATTCCGGCTATATCCATTTTCTGGGGACACCAGTGACTGGTGGGTAGCATTTAGAGGGATCCAGGCAAATTTGGGGACATGGTCCCCTGCATTCTCCATATCAAGGTCTTTGGGAATGATGGCTCTTGGGGAGAGGGTTAGTCCTCCCTTGGCGGAGGGGTACCCATCTTTTATTATTAGGGCCCTCAAGATGGGAAGTCCTAAAGACCCATTTCTCATTCCTAGGTCTCCACCATTCAGGGCCTGTTGGTTTGGGGGTGTCAGGCACCAGTTCCAGTGACCACAGCTCAGGAGTCTCTCACAGCCCCGGGATCCTAAGCTGAGGAGCATCTCCGTTTATCTGCTGTCCCCCAGTTCTGGCCTGGCGGGTGTCTGGTGGCCCCCACTACGTAGGCAGGGCCCTTTATCTCAGGGCCCGCGCCTGGCTTTGGGAGGGCCGCGGCGGTGGCCCGGCCCGGCCGCCTCAGTCCATGCCCCGGTGCAGCTTCAGGTGCCGGGAGAGGTTGCTGAGCGTGATGAAGCCCTTGCCGCAGATGTGGCAGGGGAATGGCCGCTCGGTGCCGTGCAGCAGCCGGTGGCGCTTGAGGTAGCACTCGTGGCGGAAGAACTTGCCGCACTCGAGGCACGGGAACGGCTTCTCGCCCGTGTGCACCAGCACGTGCCGCTCCAGGTCGCGCGGCGAGCGGAACAGCTTCTCGCACTCGGAGCAGCCGAAGATCTTCTTGCCGCGGCCGGAGCCGGACGCGGGCTCCCCGGGCACGGGCTCTCCGTCCGGGGCCGCTGCGGCCGCCTCCGCCCCTCCACCCTCGCCGTGGCTGGCCCGCCGGTGCTCCTCCAGCGCCGCCAGGGCCGCGTACAGGGCCCCGCAGTGGCCGCAGCCGTAGGTGGCCGGGCCCGAGTGCGCCTCCAGGTGGCTGGCCAGCGCCGCGGCCGACGCGAAGAACGTTCCGCAGTCACACTGGTACAGGGTGTCCTCCGACGGTTCTGCCGCGGCCGCCGGCGCGGGGGCCTCCCCGCCGCCCTCAGGGGGCAGCGCCTCCGGCTCAGGCACCCCGCCCCCCGCGCGGCCTAGGGGCAGCCCGGTGTCCCAGGCCGGCTGGGCGTCGCCCACCTCCTTGGCGCCCTCCTGGCCGACTGCATCGGGCCCAGCGCCCGCCCCGGGGGCCCAGGCCTGCGCGGGGGGTGCGCCCGGCCCCTGCAGGTCGTGTGTCAGCTTGTGCCGCTCCAGCAGGGCAGGGGCGTTGAAATCGCGCTCGCAGCGCGGGCACTTGAAGGGCTTCACGTCGGTGTGCGCCGCCCAGTGCGCCGCCAGCTCGCGGCCCTGTTCAAAGCGCCGCGCACAGGCTCCGCAAGCGAATGGGGGCAGTGAGGCCGCGGCGGCTGCCGCCGCCGCCTCTGCCAACCCCCAGCTGCCCGGACCCGCGCCTGCCCCCTCTGGGCCCTCTCCGCCGCCGGTCCCCGCGCCCCCGCACACTGAGCAGGGCCCGACGTTGCAGCAGACGGAACAGGGCGCGCTCAGGGCAGGCAGGCCCGGGCTGGGCTGCAGCGGGGACGGGAGCACCCCGCGGTGCTGGCGCTTGAGGTGGCGGCCCAGGCTGGAGCGTGAGGAGAAGCGGAGCTCGCAGACCAGGCAGCAGTAGGGTTTCTCACCAGTGTGGACGACCTGGGAGGGCGGGAGGAAGAGTGCAGCATCAGGTGAGGGGCCAGCCTCAGGGCAGATTCCTGGACTCCCGGGGTGGGTGGGGTGCACCTAGGCTCCCTACCCCATCTAAAGGCCCCATCTGGCTTCAATCTTCCCACTCGCCTTTGCTGCTGAGGGCCACGTTAGCAACCTTTGAGTCCTTTCAGCCTCAGGACCTTTGCACATGCTGTTCCTTCTGGCTAGAAAACTCTTCCACTCATACCCATTTCAACAAGCCCACCTAGGAGGTTGGGGCTCCCTGGGAGAGTACAAGGGCTCTGAGCACTGACAGATGTCAGTTCAAACCCCAGCTCTACCTCCTACAGTCTGTGAAAACCTGGACCAATAACTGCATCTCCGGGACTCTGCTTTTTTCCTCTGTTAAATGGGCACAATGAGATATGCCATCTGACAGAGTTGTTGTGAGGGCAGGGTAAAATCACAGAATACCTACTCAAATCCTAGAAATAAGAATTACTACTGACAATCTTTCCCATGTTCCAATGATGTCCCGTAAACCAGTAGATATTGGGATGGGGTGGAGAGGGGCTTTTCACTGGGGAGGGGGATGAGGGGGTGAGGTCGAGGCTCATGGGGGGAACCCCCTGGCCAACCCCCCCTTCCCCTTGGGACTGGGAGGAACACAGAGACAAACAAAACAACAGAGATGGTAAGACCCACAGGCGCTACAGCAGAGCGGGAGGGAAAATGCACCATCCACCTGATCCCACCCAGACGCGTCCGAGCAGGCTGGCCCCACTCCAGAGGAAGAGGGGCGTCTGCTGGGTGTACTCGGAGGAGGGTGTGGTGCAGGCCCACCTGGACCAGCCTGTGCCAGTGGACAGGGGTGTGTGTCTGAATTAGTTCATCCTACTGGGTGGGGAGATTTCCAACCAGCCTATTCTAGTATTTGGGGGTGGGGAAGATCATTAGGGTTGATCCATTCCTTAGTGGAGACCTAACTGGGGAGGGGGTTTAGGGCAGGGGGCATCTACCCTGGTCCTCTTGGGCTTAGGGAATGAAATGGGGGAAGGCAGATTCCGGCTATATCCATTTTCTGGGGACACCAGTGACTGGTGGGTAGCATTTAGAGGGATCCAGGCAAATTTGGGGACATGGTCCCCTGCATTCTCCATATCAAGGTCTTTGGGAATGATGGCTCTTGGGGAGAGGGTTAGTCCTCCCTTGGCGGAGGGGTACCCATCTTTTATTATTAGGGCCCTCAAGATGGGAAGTCCTAAAGACCCATTTCTCATTCCTAGGTCTCCACCATTCAGGGCCTGTTGGTTTGGGGGTGTCAGGCACCAGTTCCAGTGACCACAGCTCAGGAGTCTCTCACAGCCCCGGGATCCTAAGCTGAGGAGCATCTCCGTTTATCTGCTGTCCCCCAGTTCTGGCCTGGCGGGTGTCTGGTGGCCCCCACTACGTAGGCAGGGCCCTTTATCTCAGGGCCCGCGCCTGGCTTTGGGAGGGCCGCGGTGGTGGCCCGGCCCGGCCGCCTCAGTCCATGCCCCGGTGCAGCTTCAGGTGCCGGGAGAGGTTGCTGAGCGTGATGAAGCCCTTGCCGCAGATGTGGCAGGGGAATGGCCGCTCGGTGCCGTGCAGCAACCGGTGGCGCTTGAGGTAGCACTCGTGGCGGAAGAACTTGCCGCACTCGAGGCACGGGAACGGCTTCTCGCCCGTGTGCACCAGCACGTGCCGCTCCAGGTCGCGCGGCGAGCGGAACAGCTTCTCGCACTCGGAGCAGCCGAAGATCTTCTTGCCGCGGCCGGAGCCGGACGCGGGCTCCCCGGGCACGGGCTCTCCGTCCGGGGCCGCTGCGGCCGCCTCCGCCCCTCCACCCTCGCCGTGGCTGGCCCGCCGGTGCTCCTCCAGCGCCGCCAGGGCCGCGTACAGGGCCCCGCAGTGGCCGCAGCCGTAGGTGGCCGGGCCCGAGTGCGCCTCCAGGTGGCTGGCCAGCGCCGCGGCCGACGCGAAGAACGTTCCGCAGTCACACTGGTACAGGGTGTCCTCCGACGGTTCTGCCGCGGCCGCCGGCGCGGGGGCCTCCCCGCCGCCCTCAGGGGGCAGCGCCTCCGGCTCAGGCACCCCGCCCCCCGCGCGGCCTAGGGGCAGCCCGGTGTCCCAGGCCGGCTGGGCGTCGCCCACCTCCTTGGCGCCCTCCTGGCCGACTGCATCGGGCCCAGCGCCCGCCCCGGGGGCCCAGGCCTGCGCGGGGGGTGCGCCCGGCCCCTGCAGGTCGTGTGTCAGCTTGTGCCGCTCCAGCAGGGCAGGGGCGTTGAAATCGCGCTCGCAGCGCGGGCACTTGAAGGGCTTCACGTCGGTGTGCGCCGCCCAGTGCGCCGCCAGCTCGCGGCCCTGGTCAAAGCGCCGCGCACAGGCTCCGCAAGCGAATGGGGGCAGTGAGGCCGCGGCGGCTGCCGCCGCCGCCTCTGCCAACCCCCAGCTGCCCGGACCCGCGCCTGCCCCCTCCGGGCCCTCCCCGCCGCCGGTCCCCGCGCCCCCGCACACTGAGCAGGGCCCGACGTTGCAGCAGACGGAACAGGGCGCGCTCAGGGCAGGCAGGCCCGGGCTGGGCTGCAGCGGGGACGGGAGCACCCCGCGGTGCTGGCGCTTGAGGTGGCGGCCCAGGCTGGAGCGTGAGGAGAAGCGGAGCTCGCAGACCAGGCAGCAGTAGGGTTTCTCACCAGTGTGGACGACCTGGGAGGGCGGGAGGAAGAGTGCAGCATCAGGTGAGGGGCCAGCCTCAGGGCAGATTCCTGGACTCCCGGGGTGGGTGGGGTGCACCTAGGCTCCCTACCCCATCTAAAGGCCCCATCTGGCTTCAATCTTCCCACTCGCCTTTGATGCTGAGGGCCACGTTAGCAACCTTTGAGTCCTTTCAGCCTCAGGACCTTTGCACATGCTGTTCCTTCTGGCTAGAAAACTCTTCCACTCATACCCATTTCAACAAGCCCACCTAGGAGGTTGGGGCTCCCTGGGAGAGTACAAGGGCTCTGAGCACTGACAGATGTCAGTTCAAACCCCAGCTCTACCTCCTACAGTCTGTGAAAACCTGGACCAATAACTGCATCTCCGGGACTCTGCTTTTTTCCTCTGTTAAATGGGCACAATGAGATATGCCATCTGACAGAGTTGTTGTGAGGGCAGGGTAAAATCACAGAATACCTACTCAAATCCTAGAAATAAGAATTACTACTGACAATCTTTCCCATGTTCCAATGATGTCCCCTAAACCAGTAGATATTGGGATGGGGTAGAGAGGGGCTTTCATAATCCCCTGGGGTGGGAGGTGGCTTTTCAAGGTAAATGTTCAAACTTCTAGAGCAGAACTGTGCAATAGGATTTCCTGCAATGAGGGAGAAGTTGCATATCTGTATCGACCACTATGCAGCCACCAGCCACACGTGGCTATGGAACACTTGAAATGTGGCCAGTGTGACTGAGCAAGACTGTGCCTTATGGATATTGGCCCTGGTAGTTTATGTAAGAGTCCTCGAATAGCAGAGACAGATTTTACCTGTCCCATTCCTACTGGTTGGTGGTGTGGGGCTGCAGAGCTGGGGGGTGTGGGGGCAGATGGTGAGCTTCGATGAGGGAGCTGGGTGCAGTGCTGCCTGTTGCCCAGAGTGGGGCCCTGGGGCCCCAAGGGCATCCAGCCCTGGAGGCCATCCTGGGGCCAGCCTGAGGGACTCACCTGATGGTGCAGCAGGCCAGTGGAGTCTCGGAATCCCTTGGGGCAGGCGGAGCAGCGGTAGGGCCGCTCGCCCGTGTGTGAGCGCAGGTGGTTGGCCAGATTGAAGCTGTGCTTGAAACCCTTGCCGCAGCGTGGACACGCGTGGGGTTTGAGCGCAGTGTGCCGGGCGAAGTGGCGCCGCAGGTCCGAGCGGTAGCGGAAGCTCTTGCCACACTCACTGCAGTGAAACGGGACCCGGGGGGTGGCAGCGGGCGATGCTGGGACCGGAGCTGGGGCAGGGACGGGGGGCGCTGGCAGAGGGGTGTCATCCATGATGGTTAGGTGCAAAGGCAGTGGCCCCGTGCCGGCTCTCTCTGGAGCAGTGAGGAGACACGGAGGGCAGGTGAAGGGGTCAGCCTGTCTTTTCAGGCTCCTTGGACCCACAGACCCTCCAGTTGTTCCCTGGGAGCCCTTCTCACTGCCCTCCAAGCCACAGGCCTTGCTCACTGCTCTTTAAGCCCCTTCCATTCTCCTAAAACCCTTCTCCCACTCATCTGCCGATCTTCACAATCACTGCCAATCGCTTCTGCTCCAGTGTTTTTAAGCTTCTCTCCCACTTTGCGAAAGCACGCCCTCTGTGCTCTAAGCTCCGCCCACCCCGACGCTGCCCCGCCCACGTGGCTAAGCCCGCCCATTCTCGCTTAGGTCCCGCCCACTCTGCTCTAAGTCCCCCCATACTGGTCCCGAACTCTCTTGTATTCTTTGACAACACCCTTCCTCTCCGAAAGCCCCTCCTGCTCCTGGAAGATGAAGGTCATCTTCCGATGAAGATGCACATTCTCGGTGAATGACAGGATAAAGATCTGGGGTCAAGTGCACTGGGGTCAACCTTCCAGGGCGACCACAGCTCGTCCTGAAACCTCTGATATAAACCAAATGCACTCTCCGTCCGCAAACTGGGGACAACGGGAGTACCTACCTGGTGGAGCAGTGGTGCGTGTTAAGCAAAACTGTTGCAAAGAGTGCTGCGTGCTTACTTAGGCGGGGTTCACAGACTCCACAGGTTAACTGTGTGCCTATACCTCCCGCTAAGTACCTCTAGGCCTCTACAGTGGCCGCCTCCAAACCCGCTGCGCTGTCCCTTCACATTCCGCCATGAAGTGGCCCCATGCTTCCCAAAGCCCCGCCCTCTATGTCATTGCACTTGCATTGCAGACTTTGTATCTCCACTAAGACTCCACAAATTATACGCCTCATTGTGCCCTTTCTCTAAGACACACCCCTGAACAAACTACAGACCTTCCACTCTAGGCTCCTCCCATTTCCACCCTGGACGTTTTCCCTCTCAGCCCCAATTAGGTCTCTTCCACCCTACAACCTGGGGCCCTCCTACCCTTCGAGCCACGCCC